AAAAAAAAAAAAAAGATTTTTTCACAAAAATTCCTCATCATAAATATGTGAAGTAAACAGCGGCTATTTTATTGAAGGCCTTCACAGGAAATCAAACAAAGAATGCATAAAATGAAGGCGCAAGAGATACAAACATGAAACGACATAATTAAATTTTCCTAAGTACCCACAAAGCTCATCAAATAGAAAAGCCTGATGGAGGCTGGCTGTAAGACACAGGACCTGCGGCCCGTAGGGACAAGCACTGACCTGTCAAGATGGTAACAGGATACAGACTCTGCACCAGCAAAGAGGCTCCTGGGCCTGAGCATCCATGGCATTTTGTCAAATTATCTTCTGGTACAACAAAAGAATCTGCCTGTGGCATTTACAGCACAGACAGAACTAGACAAGCCTGCTTTCCCAGAACCCTGGAATGCCAAACACGGTGACGAGACAGAGAGCGGAGCCCCTGGTGGGAGCTAATGTACTGCGAGGGACTTGAATCTGGAAAACCACACGAAGAGATCAATTAATGTAAAGGATGAACCGTCTAACATACTCCCACTTAGGCACGCTACAGAGGAGCACGGAGTCAGAGGGTTCCTTGCGTTATCTCATCTGAGACTCTCTCCGCAAGCCATTGCCACAGGGTCTCCCAGATGCCATCATGGAAGCTCAGTCCTCAGGGTTTGGAGAGCACAGGAGATGGGGGAATTTCAGCTACTGCAGTCTCTGGTCATATGTGAAATATGTAAGGAATGGTTAAGGTCATCTCTTTGCTCAGAGAGGTACAAATAATGTAAGCAAGAGAAGCTGACCAGAGCAGGGGGCCACTTTATATATAATATGCATCAAAAACTACATATAATCAAAGCAAAACAAACACACACACAAAACCAAAAGAAGCAACCCCCTCAAAAAAGCCCCAAACCGAAAAACTACAAAAAATAGAAATAAAAATAAAAGCAAATAAAACAAAAATTCAACAACATAAAGAAAAACCCCAGACTAGTGTTCCCTTTTTGAAATAACACTATACTCCTATCCTCCTTGGGTTGTTGTGAAGAACCTGATCAATAGAGAATTCAAAACAGAAAACAATCTGAGGCATGTCATGTTCTCCAAGTGACACTGTATACAGAGGTTAAGAAATGAGTCTACAGATGCTGCTTCAGTTTTAAAAGAAAACTTGTGATCAACCCAAAGGAAGTTAAAAATACAATGTGCTGAAAACGCACAGAATACCCCTAATTAATCAAACGACACTGTCAAGGCTTGTAGCAAGCTGCTCAATGCACAGTCCTTGATCTATACCTGAAGAAATTTACATATCACGTATACAAATTCATAATAAAATGATAAATAGCTCACAAACGCTACGGAGCACAGTGCTGTGTAGTCACTGGCCATTCACACTGAGTGTCCAGCTGCTGAGAGAGCAGAGGCCGTACCTGCTGCCCACCATCAGGAGCAGGTATTTGTACCATGCAGCACTAGTGAGAGAAGTACATGTATTAATACAAAATTGAAAGATTTCAGCGAATCCCTCTTTCTTCTTCTTCTTTTTTCTGTACTAAAGATTTAACTGAGAACCTCATGCATGCTAGACTGGAAGAACATCACACAATATTTACTCAGTATTAAAACAGGGCCTTCCTGCACTGTCCAGGCTGAGGCTGGTGCTGCAAAACTCCTGTCTCAGGGTGTCCAGCGGCTGGAATAAGAGGTGTGCACCACTAGGTCTCACTGAGTTTACGCTGTTCAGGCGAGAAAATCTCAGTAAATCATAGTGATTCTATGTTAAAATATCACATGCCTGTCTTGGCAGCAGTGAAGGAGGTGGACATCATAGCTTAAGCCCTCTCCAGGCTGGGCAGCTGAGTCAGAGCTGATCTCAAAAGTCGGAAAAGAGAAATGGGTAGTGTGCAGCTCAGAGCCAAATTCCTGCATCCTGGCCCTGCACAATACAAACATCACACAAGCCTTGAAATCTTTGTATCCAGAGAAACCCCTCACAAATGATGTGGTGAACTGATCAGAGACAACTGAAGACACAGTCACAGCACCTGTCCTCGGCTCCCTGCTTCCCGAGCCTGTGACCTCTGCCCACGCGCAGGCCAGGCAGCCACAGCCCTCCAATTACTGTCAGTCACCCTGAGGACAAGCTGACCCCAGCAGGAGCTCACTGTTCCCCCTACAAGGTGTGCTCCCCCACTTCCTTCTTCCTCCCCCTTCCTCCTTCCTATTCAAAGATTTATTTTATTTGTATTCATTCTTATGCCTGTAGAACCTAACTCAGTGCTTGTTTTATACAGAGTCCATTTCAACCAACTTCTGACTTTAAGTCAGTGTGTACAAACAGTGCAAGGCGGGAATGATCTCAGAGATGACAGCCTTGTTCTCCCTCCACGGCCAGTATCAGGAGTCCCTGTCCACGCAGACGCCGCCGCTCAAGATGTTTCTCACTGTGGGTTTAACATGTGCACTTCAGAAAGTTGTGTGGAGCAAGAATACTTTCTCGGGGCTGGGGGTTTAGCTCAGCGACATAAGCACCTGCCTTGCAAGCAGGCGGTCGTGAGTTCAATCCCTGGTACCAATAAAAAAAAAAAAAAAAAAAAAAAGAATACTTTCTCTTCTTTTGGTTTCGGGCAATTTTTTTTGTTTTTTGTTTTTGTTTTTTTTTGAGACACCGTCTCTCTGGGCAGTTCAGGCTGGCCTTGAGCTCACTTTGTAGCCTTGGCTGGTCTCAAACTCACAATGATCCTCCTGCCTCAGCCTCCCAAGTGCTGCGATTACAGGCATGAGCCACTACGCCTGGCTCAGGCAATTACTTTTGAAACATTACTTTCAAAAGTTTCTGGGTAAGTTAAAATTTACCTCTGCTGGAGAGCACAGTCAGACAATAGGAAGCAAGCAAGGGGAGCTGATCACGTTTTAGCACTCATGCACTGTGTCAGCAGCCATTGGAGGAAGAAGGGCCTCATGATCTAGTCTCACTGGATACCAGGCAGAGTAAATTCTGTGATCTGGAAAGCCTACTATTGCAAAGTTTTACGGCAGGTGGACAGCACATGTACATACCATTAAAAAAAAAAAAAAAGAAAAGAAAAAAAATCCCAGGGTTTTACATGAATCATGACTTTTTAAACTGGAAATGAACTCACAATCTTGTGCGTTCCAGACAGGTGAGGCGCTGCTGAGGTACATTCCTACCCTGAATAGAGATTCTTATGAAATGCACTTATTTTAATTATTTCCTTTGTCAGAAAAGAACCCTTCTTCTTACATTCAAAACACATTAACATCTCTAACATTTTTCTTAGGGTTCTAAACCCTCTGGAAGGCCTCACTGACACAATCTGATGGTAAAGAATAGTTTATGAACCACCTAATAAATAAGGCATCTAGCTATGGAAAAGAGCCTGCGGTAGACTTGGGAAATACGCCACAAAAATGAGAAATAAAATATAAAATGACTGAACTTCCTCAGCAAACAGGGACAGAAGCCTTCCCTCCTACAGGGACTTACAGCCGTTCCCCACCTCGCTCCCTGGTCTCCAGGAATTTCAAATGCAAAATAACTACTTTTTTCTATAAATTCCCAGTTTCCTTTAACTCTTACAGAGTGAGAAAATACATCTGATAACCTGAGTTTCCAGTGGTCATTTCACATAAACAGAGTCACCTGTGAGAGCGGCCAGTAAAGGAGCCACTGCTGTGCGCTGGTGACCTACGCTGCCCTCTGGATTGAGCAGCTGCTGGGCCACCCACTCAGGACGATTCTAAGAATCCTCTTATTTCCAATGAAATCTTGCCTCATGCAGGGACAGTTAAGACCCATAGGGAGGATTATAGCACTGGGTCCTCTAGAAAGTAGAGAAGACAAGGCCTTGGTGTCCCAGCAAACAGTCGTGCTGCCAGCCTGCAGTTTCACACTTGTGTCTGGGTAAGCTACACTCTGCATCTTTAAGCTCCCTTCTGAGCAGGTCACTTTCCCAAAACAAGTTGTTAAATGTGATCCTGGAAAACTCTAAGACAGCCCATCAAGCCAGGTCCCTAGGAACAAACCCAAAAACCAACCACACAGTGGCCCTCGCAAGAGGTGGAGATAGGTCCTCCGCCCCTTAAAATAGTACTGCAACCCTGCTTAGAGTCGGCTCTGAGGGTTCGCACCCCTCTCGCGGGTGTCTGTACTCTTTCTTCCCATACCTGCAACACAGTTTTGCTTGGCGCTGATCTTCTCTGACTACTCTCCCACTTTCCATGTCAGAGAAGCAACCCTGCGAGAGTGAGACACCCGAGGCAAAGCTAACATCTTTTCTGTTCAAGACCTCACTCCACATGTCGTGAGAGCACGAGCTCTGTGGTTCTCACTGTCAGTGCGGGTCTAACACAAATGACTAGAGTTGCATATGCTTTTGCAATTCTCAGTATGCAACGGAGTTCACGGCACACTTGGGAAGAGAGCTCTCTTCCCCAGTCACATCACCTGCAATGTAAACCTTGCGTCGCATTCTTTTGGACCTTATCAACAGGTATTATGAGGTTGTCACTAAGCATAAACACTGGAAACTCAGGACTTCACTGTGAATAGAAAAAGCAGAAGTCTGAAAAGAGCAGGTGTGGGTCTGAGACCCTGCCTCGCAGACATTTATAACCGTCACATCCCCAGCTCTGCTACTGAAAGCACCGAGACCAGGGACCCAGCGCCCGCAGCCGCACCAGCTCCAGGCCGCCCTGAACCAGGGCCGCCCCGAGCCCCGCTCTCCCCACACCGCTGAGGCGCTGCCGGGCCACACCGGACGGCACCGTGGGCCGGCAGTGTCACGGTGGGGACCGACTCACGGGACATGGCGGTGACCCGGACCCCGCCGAGGGAACAGTGGCAAAAGCCCCAGAGCCCGGAGGACCTCGGGGTCCGGAGCTCGGCGGGAGGCTGCGGCTCCCAGAGCCGGTTCCGGCCGCCTCCTCTCAGACCTCAGCCCGACCCCCTCCCTTCCCCGGCTTCCGCCCCGCACCATCACCATTGCGCGGCTTCCCGGTGTTCCCGAGTCCTTCCCACGTGGTCCGCAGCTGGAATAAGTCCCAGAAGGCGGGCTAGCGAGCTGAGGGACTCACAGCACTGAGAGCAGGACGGGGAGCCATGACACCGGAAGTCCCCGCCCACCTCGGCTCCCCTGATTGGGCGGTTCAGGCAGCCCGCCTCTCCGCCGCTCATTGGCTCAGCCCGCCTCCCCGCCCCTCATTGGCTCCTGGTCCACGACCTCTGCTCTGTCTAGAGTGCGGAGTTTAGATTCCTGCCTGCTTGACTACAGCTCAGCTGATAACTGTGACCTAGGAATTTCTGGACAATGCTCCTTCTCGCAATACCAACCTCGCCTCCTCTAAGAATAATTGCATTTCAGCAGTTTAATGTTCGCTTCCAGATCTGCCCCTTTTTTCTTAATAAACGCAACGTGCTTTTGCTGAAATGTGGTCTCTTATGTGCTCAGAAGGTTTCTTGATCGGTGTACTACGGAAGAATCAGTCCTTTGATGTAAGAGAACATTGTGGATGCAGGACAGGACAGAATAAATAGAGGGTAGGGCTGGCCTTTCCAGGCACATCTTAGGTAATGAGGCAACTGGTTTCATTGTTAATATTTTCACACTGTATTAATCTATTCACTTTTATTCAAGAAAGTGAATATATCCCCACCCCCAGTAAAAAAAAAAAAGTGTGTTTGTGTAGGTGGAGAACTAAGAGTTAAATGATAGCTATATTCTCCAAAAAATTCAAGATGAAAGGAAAGCAAACATTGCAATTTCCTTAGACAAGCTTTGTATTTCATTAGGATTAAAAAAGTCCCTGAATATTGAAAACAATCTAATTGCCAGGCATAAGAGCCAACACAATTGCTGAATTTGAGCCCCACACTTGGTCCTTTTGGTCACTGGCCAGTGATGAGGCAGAGAAACCTGAGTACTCCACACTGTAGCTCTGCATGCATGACAGTTTCCTCCTTGAACCCGAATATTCATAGAATTCAAATAGGAGGATACCTGTGATTCTCTTGTTTAAATTATTTGGCTGGAGAGATGCTTAGGATACTTGTAATGCAGGGTGTTGAGTTCCCATTATGATGGTATAAGGTTTATCTGATCTTTTATTTGTAGTAGTGTGTTTTAGAAAGCCTGGTGTGCCAATATGGGCATGCATATTTATATGCAATCGCTGTAGCTTCCTGTTGAACCCTTCCCTTTAGCTGTGTGGAGTTATCTTCTTTATCTCTTCTGATATGCTTTGCTTTGAAAACTGAAGTCTCACATTCTATTTTCTGGGACAAAATAACTGACACCTATACTTAAAGAGGGGGAAGGTTTATTTCAACCCAGAAACTGTAGAGGTTTCAGTCCTTGGATGGCTGACCGCAAGGCCAAGTATCCAGAGGCCGGACACCATGGGTAGGACAGAGTAACAGCAAGCCTGCTTTTCAACTTGTACTCCGTACCGGCTACATGCTTTCTGGATGGTGCCACCTACATCCAGGATGGGGATTCTTTCTCCATTAAATCCGTTCAACCACACTCAGATCTATGCTAGTTTCAATGTTTGGACTAATTTCATAGTTGTTATTGATTAAAAAGTGGAGGCCAGTTTAACACCAGCTGAATTAAATCAGTATGGCCAAAGTATAGATGGCCCACCTGAGGAAAGTTACCAGCATAAAAACAGATGTGGAAAGGAAGAGGGTGGCATTGAGGGTTCTCCTAAGTGTTGTTGTTTGGAGCCATTGGTTCTCCTGGAGGAGCTTGTCATGCTGGCTTCCCTGATACGAACTCGGCTCTTATCATTGGAGGAGCTCAGGATCTTGTCACTGAGAGTGGTGCCGTTCACTTTGCAGGAGCTCTGGTCCTTACACTGTACATTGCTTCCTGACTCTGGAGGGGAAAAAGTGTGCTGTATAATCTGCAGGAGTTTGCCATGCTGGCTTCCTGACATGTACTCAGCTGTTCACACTGCTTGAGCATTTCCAGACCTCACTGTCTCTGAGGATGGCTCTGGTGCTTTTCAAGGGAGCCCTGGGGCTTAGTTTGAGCATTGCTTCTTGGTTCCACTGTAGAACCCTTAACCTACTAGCACAGATCCTTTATCCTACTTGCGTAGACTTTCTAGCATCCACCACTGACCTTTGGGCCTTCCCCGTGCAGGTCCATGCAATAGATTTGCATGAGTAAATGTCATGGGCTCTAGGCCTCCATTTAGGCTCATGGGAGGCATTGTCATGGGCTCTAGGTCTTCCGTTAGACTCATGCAGGTGTTACTGTGGAATCCAGGCCTGCAACTGGATTTTCTAGGTCTTTAATATTGTGTAGAGATTTCCTGCACTTTCTTGTATTTAACTCTTGGTGACCATAATAAAATATTATAAATTATGTGTCCTGTATGAAATTGTTCTCCATGAGATGCCTAACTACAACAGTAGCATGCAACATTAATCCCAGTATCATACACTGTAGATCCGGCCATCTCCCAAAATCCCCATCTATAAGGGCAGAAGGCTTTGAGGGGACATCTAGGTACAAGCCATAGCAGCCTGGGACCCGTGTGGTCCCGGTGAAATGTCATAGGGAAGTGGCTGCTCTTCTGTGGCCATGGGAAGGCTCCCTGAGTTCAACAGAGAAACGCTCCAGTACTGGGACAAACATTCTCGGATGGGTATCACGTACCTGGAACCAGGAGGAGAAACGGCAATAAGTGGAATGTGTGATTTTACCAGGAAGGAAATGTAAGGAGGCCTCCATCCCTGCTCAAGGTCGTTATCATCCAGAAGAGAAGTTCTCAGGCTCGGAATCAGTGACTAAGGTAACTTTGTGTTTCTATTATTTTCAAATCAAGACCTATTTTTATTTTTCTTTGCTTTGTTGTTCTTTCCTTTTTACAAAACAACTGAAACCTGGGGATCGGGAGCTGGCAGGCCAGGGATACACAGTGTCAAAGGTCATTTGTTGAGGTCAAAACTAATCGTAGGCACCGACAAGCTGTATCTAGGGAAGTGTTCCATCAGAGGCGAAGCACGGCAGTTCACAGGTTTCTGCCGGCGGATAAGCAATTGCTTTGCTACGGGCCTCAGTCTTAGTCTCCCAGGACTACAACTCAGTCATTAAAGGAGGAACATTATTAACTCCCGTCATGGTTTTTGGAGGACCAATTCAATTGTAATGCTTGCTGAATGCTGCTGTATTTCCACGATTCTCTCCATATTTAAGTACAGAGAATCCACTTGGTTATGAAAACACAAGTGTAGCTTAAAGAATGGATGCGGACACTAACCAAGGCAGTGGAGGGGTCGTGTTAATGAAACTCACTGAAGATCTCTCGGGAAGACTCTTCCAAGAAATACAAGTCAGCACGTGAGGGAGACGTTAATCCATCAGGAGACCATAACTGCTCTAAACACTTTTGGACCTGAAAACACCTGAGAAAGTAAGAATGGAAAGGAGGAAGGAAAGCAGGAAGGGAATTTAATAGAAACAAAATGGAAAAACATAGACCAGGAGTAAGAGACTTGGTTATCCCTTTTATTTTGCTGCTCTCTCTACTGTTTCCGTTTCCGTCTTTGTGAGGCGGGTCTTGTTATCTGGTTTAGGCTGGCACGGAACTCACTGGGTAGCCTTGAAAGGCCTTGAAATCCAGGCGGCCCTCTTTCGGGAGTCTGCCAAGAGCTGGCATGCTGGACAAGAGCACCCCACCCAGCTCCATCTTAAAACTGGTAGACAAACAATGCAAGTAATTTCAGGAAAACAGCGGGGCCACATTTATGGGTTTCAATTGCACGTGGAAGGATGTTTTCTTTTAATTTGTGACTACTTTTACTGATGTCACCCTTTTACTGTGCACTGATCCCCTTCCTCTTTCCTGATTGCATCCTTTGTATATTTTCAAAGACAAATGCATCCTCTGAGTCACAGAAGAAATCTGAGTGAAGTTTGGGGGATTCACACTGTAGGAACTCTTTTCCATGCCGATGAGACAACATGTTTAAACACTGACAACGGAGACAGCACTAACAATTGTGCAGCTTTAAAAGGCCCGGGGATCAAGGAAGATTATAAACTGCTGCAGTCCAATAACTTCAATAAATTGGATAAAATGGACATATTTCCTGAAAGATGTAAAATAATAAAGTTCATATAAGAAACCGGTATGCTGAAAAGCAATATGCTCAATAAATAAATTAAATGAAGAAAAAGCTCCCTACTAACTTTAGGCTTAAATTGTTTCACTCGTGAATTTAACCACACATTTATGTAAGAAAGCATACCAGTTTTATACAGTCCTAAAGAGCGTTTAAGAGGAAGAACTGTTCCTCAACTCCTCCTTCCCAGTCGGCATGACTCAGTTTTTAAAAATGAAGACAAAAATGTGGCTGTGGTGGCCCAGACCTATAATCTTAGAACTTTAAGAGCCTGAAGCAAGAGAACCGCTCTGAGTTTGAGAAATCCTGTGCTGCATTAGGAGCTCAAATCCAGAGTGAACTGATTTTTTTAAAAAGATGTGATCCTTATTTTCTTAAAAAGACAAAATGTTTCCAGAAAATTAAACTTCAGACCAATATCCTTCTAGGAAGTTGACATAAAAACTCTTAAAGTTTGTTTTTTTTAATTTATTTTGTTTTAAAGAGAATAAAACAAAACAGCAAATCAGAACAGATCAATGCAAGCAACACAAGACTTCACAACGAGACAGCAGGACATCAGCAGAGGCTACCATGATGTCTCTTGTTTTCTTTGAAATAGTTGTCCCTGCCTTCACATACAATAATATCAAACATAACAAAATAGTATAAAACCATTCAAAAGAATGAAAGCAATACATGACTCAAAGCCAGATAACAGGAAATGAACAATGGCTACCATAGTATCTTATTTTCTTCAAAAAACTTGTCCATACCATCACATATAATAAAATCAAATAAAACACAACAGGATAGAACCAATCGAAACAGAAGAACAAAAGCATGATAGGACTTCAAAACAAGATGAAAGGAAATCAGCAATGGCTAATATAACGTCTTGTTCTCTTCAAAATAGCTGTTCGTTATACTTTTTTTTTGGTCTTTTTCCTTTTTTTTATCGGTACCAGGGACTGAACTCACGACTGCTTGCTTTCAAGGC